GTACGTAATTATCTCCGACAATGGGCTTCAATTTACGGATAAAAAGTTCAACACCTTCCTTGAGAATCTTGGCATCTGGCACCGGTTCACGTCTGTTGAACACCCGCAGTCCAACGGTCAGGCCGAAGCAGCCAACAAAGTTATCCTCACTGAGCTGAAGAAACGGCTCGGCTCGGCCAAAGGAGCCTGGGCCGAAGAGCTTCCTAAAGTCCTTTGGGCGTATTGATGCACGCCCCACTCAAGCACAAAAGAAACTCCCTTTCGATTGATGTACGACACCGACGCGATGATACCGGTAGAGGTTGGTGAACCGTCATTCTGGCAGACCCACTTTCAGAAAGAGTTTAATGATAACGGCCTCCGCGCCGAGCTCGATGTCCTGGATGAAGTAAGAGAAAAGGCACAGATTGTGGCTGAGGCGTGCAAGCAACGAATGAGTCAACGCTTTAATTCCAACTTAAAGCCGAGAACATTCCATGAAGGAGATCTCGTTTGGAGGGCAAGCAGATCGGCAAGACGAAACCCCACCGAAGGGAAGTTATCGGCCAACTGGGACGACCCATTCCGGGTATGACACGCTCTCCACAATGGAGTTTACAAGCTTGAGGAACTGTCCGGAAAGGTCATCCCGAGAACGTGGAATGCTACCCATTTGAAGACATATTACAGCTAGATCCAATTTTTTCTGTCTTATGTTCCCATCATGTACATGTATCATGATGCACTCTTTTCCTAGACCGATCTTTTTTCCCCTTATAAAAACGTGAAAAGGGGATTTTGGTTGGCAAGGTTTTTAACGAGGCATCAACTCATCAATGAAAATACAGTTCCACCACTCATGATTCATTTTAATTATTTACAAGTATTCCCCCCCGAGAACCCTCTCGGATAAGGACGCGGCTTAGTCACAAATTCACGCCTTCCCTCCCGAGATTTCTCTCGGTCCAGGATATGACACGTTTTCGATTTATTAAGACTTCTGAAACTCCACTCAACGCAACTTAATTCGTTACATTAATGTTATATCCGGGTACATAACGTATTTGACAAGAACAAAAGCAAATTGTATTAAAAAGGGGCTCTATCGGCCCGGGATTACAAGAAATTTCATTAAAGAAAGGGCTCTATCGGCCCCTGCCTACAGGAATAACAAAAAGCAATAACAACAAAACCCTAAGACTCCGCTTCGGGTTCCCCTTGGGCCGACATCTCCTGCTTGGGAGCTTCCTCGTACACCTGTTCTTCACCAATCGGTCTGGCCTGGTGGCGAACGGGTGCCTCGACGTCCGGTTGTTCATTTAGAGGAATCTGAGTCAAGTTAACTTATTCCCCCCAATAGAAGCCCATGGACATATCAAATTGGAAGTCTGAAGGGAAGCTTCCGAAGCACCGGGCCTGACGTGCCGCTTGTGAGAAACCAGCCTCGTGCTGAGAGAGAAACTTGCTTCTAGCCCTCTCTTGATACGCGTCGTAAGCCTTCTTCTCGGTCTCCAGCTCACCGGCCGGCTTGCCTGCCTTCTCGGCCTCGGCCTTTAAAGAATTCTCCAACCGCTGCACCTTCAACGTCAGGTCA